GTCGCGCGTTTTCATTGTCCACGCCAGCCCGGACTCATCCACATCAACGCGTACAACCTCTTCGCCTACGAGCTCCGCAGCGTGCGTCGCCGAGCGCGACCGGTCCGTGAAACAACGTGCCAAGGCGTTAGCAGGGGAGAAGCCGTCCAGCGAGACCTTGGCGTCGGCGGCGGCGCTGGGCAGCGTGTGGCGGGGCGGGAGACGCAACAGCTTGTCCAAAGACGCAGAGAGAGGCGCGCGCGACGCGGCGCCAATGACAGCAGTACTTGGGCCCCGGGTTGGACCGGCGTCCACGACCGGCAGCGGGTGCGAAATCGTCGGAGTCGCTCGGTGCACCTCGGCCCTATGTCGCTTGGGTTAGGCAGAATGGTTAGTGAATAGCTGCTGCTGTACATACGTCTTTTAAACCCGCTAGCTGCAGGTACGTGAGGTCCTTGCCCAGGCATATCCTCGGGCGGCGTTGAACGCCATGAACCTGTACGAGTCGTGAGGCTCGAACTGTGGTGCCGTCGGCGGACAGCCACCTCTCAGGGCGGAACTCGAGGCAGCGCATGTCCGTAGCCACCGACGCGTGTGCGCGTGCGCGGGCTAGCAGCCGTGGGCGGCCGGGCCGCGTCCCCTGAGGTGCTGCAGACGCCGTCCTTGGTGCCGTCCTTCACGTCGGCGGCGAGTGCAGGCATGGCTCCACCAACGCTGGCCTAACACAAGCCACGGCGGCCCTCTGCGTAGTCCAGTCTGGCAGCATCAGCAGCTAGGGTCGCAGCCCAGCCAGCGAGTGCGCGACGTAGCCGAACGTCAAGCATCCGGTTGCCCATGCCCTGGATGGGGAACCACACCACGTGAACTCTAGCGTACATGCTGCCGTCGGTCTACAGGAACTTGCCCGCGCCGCTGGGCAGCAGCTGCTCCGCCTGCGTGGCCTCGCCGAGCGCCTCGGCGTCCTTGTCCTCGTTGGCGCCGTCCGAGTCGTTGCCGGCGTCGGTGCTAGTGTCGCTGTCCTCGCCGTCCTCGTGGTGGTACTGGTAGATGGTGCTGGACGCGGAGGAGCTGACGTGGAGTAACTCTATTAATTGATTCAATTGTACTCCATTAAGTACCAGCAAGAAGGAAGCAAGCAAGCAAGCTGCGTGCCTGACCAACACCTTGTGGCAGTGTCCTCAAAAGGCTGGTGCTTAATCCGTCCTTCTTGCTCTGGCAGATGGACGGTGCGGAGCAGCCTAGCCTCTTGCTCCTGCTGCTGGTGCCAGTGTCCCGCTGCGCCCGTGGCCGCGCGTGGTGCTGGCTGTGGCCGTGGCTGTTTCTGCACGAGAAAGGTATGGGGTTTTCTACAAATGTACGTTGGATTTAAGATTAAATAAATGTGTATAGACCTGCAGTGAATCATTTTAAAAGTTCATGGACCAAAAAATACAGTTTCAAAGTTGATGGACCTATATGACACCCCAACGAAAGTTAATAGACCTCCGGTGCATTTTACTCTTAAATTTATTTTTTGTGGCGGAGGATTTATTATAGTACTAGGGTTCTCAAGTGTCGCCTAGCCGTTGCACTGTTGGCAAGGCCTGGCACACCCTAACCAAATCTTATTCTAAATTTCATTTCAATGTTGCTTAGCTTGGTAGTAATTCAAATTTTCAAAGTTAACCTAGGTGTTTGTAGCGCTTGAACTGTGTTGCTCTGGTTCAGTCTACGTCTAAATGGTTGCAGTTTCAGCATTCTGTGAGGGGTGCTGTGAAATCTTCACAGTTGTTGTAGAAGCAGTGCCATATGGAGAGTGTTTCTACCTATGCCAAATGAAGCATGCAGTAGGAGCTGAAGGACCAGATCATGCAAGACCCATCACGGAGTCTGAAGTGCCTTTTTGCAATGAGCAGATAACACATGGCTCGATGCCGTAAAACCTACTCTTTTGTCCTGTAATATAGTACATTCTAAAAATTTTAAGACAAATTAAAAGAGAACATAAAATACATTTTATTTCCTAATTAAATGTTATGTTCAACGTGATTAATGGTGATTGGTTGATAAATGGAAAGTATTTAACGTAAAATTGGCTTTTGTCCACTAGAATGCATTATATTTGAGAATAAATTTTGAATGCTAGAATGTACTATATTACAGGATGGAGGGAGTAAAGTTCAATTCTCTACCAGGGATAGATTGATTAACTTCTCCATGATAGAAGCAATGTAATGTAAATCGGTATGTCAAACATAATATGTAATTACCTAGAAGGGAAAACAGTAGTAGAAAACATAAAGTAAAAAAGAAAAGTAAACGGAAAACACTAAAATGGCTCATGCACGTAGGTAGGTAAAATAATATGTAATTACCTTGTATAGTAGAGAAAACAGCAGTACAAAATAGAAAGTAAACAAAAGGAAACGAAAAAAAAACTCTCTAATATGAACACATTGATTAACTTCTCCATGACATCAACACTATAAATCGGCATCTCAAATACCCCCTCAGTCCTGTAATATAAAAGATCAAAAGTTCAAAATATGTACATAAACATAAGGTATTCTGTGTCCTCAATCCCTCCTCTCCTCTGTCTTTTTTGTTAAGTATTGAGATCCCTTTTAAACTTAGCGTCACCTAAGACAACCGGCATTAATTAAAGAAAATAACAACTGAACTACTCCCTCCCTCCTGATTAGTGAGGGGCAAGGTGGTCTTTTGTTAGTCTTCTTATTCTTATTTTAAAGTCGCTTGAATCCCTTATATTATAGGGCGGAGGGACTATAAATCTATAATTATCTAATAGGGAAAGAGTAGTAGAAAACAAAAATTAAAAAGAAACAAAAAACATTAAATGGCTCATCCAAGTGGTACGTCAAATAATATATAATTATCCAGTATAGTAGAGGAAACAGTAGTGCAAAACAAAAAGTAAACAAAGGGAAAAATATATGATTACATAGTAGAGAAAATAGGTATAAAATGATTTTCAATTAATATTATTCAAGCTGTTCAATTTGATACGGTGATATCTTATATTGATGAGAGAAAAATATTATACCATGGCTGATAAGCAGTTCAAGCGAACAGGGCAATTGAGTACCTGGGCTATTTTTATATGCCACTCAGCACTTGCTGTTTTAAGGTGATCTTCGTTAACCTTTTTTAGGAATTTTTTATATTCATATATATTGGCATGAGCAAATAACATTTTATTTTTGTTCCGCAATAACGAAATGGATGGTGTAAAGTAAATGGAAAACAGAAAGTAAACAAAAGGAATGATGTACAAAACAGAAAGTACACATAGGAAATAGAAAAAAAAAAGTACAGAGGAAACAGGAAAAAACAGAAAGTAAACAAAAGGGGACGTGGTACAAAACAGAAAGTAAAATACAGGGGGAAAACAGTAGTACAAAACTAAAAAAACAAAATCAGACCTGGGAAAAAATAAAAACAAAAATCCTGGCCCATGCAGGTCTCGAACCTGCGACCTTCGCGTTATTAGCACGACGCTCTAACCAACTGAGCTAATAGGCCATTTGGTAGGAGAAAACAGTAAACTAAGTTTTCTACGTTAGACTTACTATAAACAAAGGCAAATCCCCCTTAACCATCGATCAAACCTCAACGTGAATTTTTACCATGAGCAGCATTCCAACTGTGTATTACAAGTGCAGCGGTAAGATAAGTAAAACCATTTCCAACCATGAAACTAGATGATTGTTATATTCAAGTGTCAACTAAGCAAAAAAAGATGACATGCCACTGCAATTAAAGAAGAGAGATGAGAAAATAGTTTATTAGATATAAGAAACCATGTCTACACAAGAATCAAGACATGAAGAGATGTAATAGGTAGATGATGGAGAGAGAAGATGTGTAATTAGATAAAAAAATTTATTCTATAGAAACTAATGGCAATAGAAACTAAATGTGATTTCTAGCTTTGGGACTGCCCTAAATGAATTAGATTTCCACCCACGTGCTACAAACAAAATCCAATCAGACATAACAAGGTAAGAAAATTGTTGGACATGTATTGACATAGAATAAGTTTGTTTGGTTTGGAGCTAGCAAAAGTTGTCTGCCAGGCAACAATCCCAGACAATGGTTTTCGGAGATCCGGGGTGAAGATATATGCTTGGTCAAGTTGCCTAGTTCCAAGGCTCCAACCAAAATGCCCCTAAGTGAATATAAACACAACTTCAGTTCTTAGATTAATTACTTCGCAAAAAAGAATTCTATAGCTCCAATAGTGTTAAAATAGCTAGCTCATAAAATATTTTATTGAGTAAATAGGAGAGAGAATAAAGTTAGTTTTCCATGAAGAGCTAAGCCCAAACACTTTTTTCTATGATTCATGTCTTTGCTTACAATTTTTTCTATACTAGCACGTTAGGTTACTCTATTTTATATATTTTAAAAATAATAATATACTCCCTCCGTCCCATTGAGTTTGTCGTTGGAAAACCGTGCCCCCCTCACAATCCCGCTTCCCGAGCGACAATCTTAACGGGGACGGAGGGGGAGTAAGCTGGCAAGTTGATGTTACCTTACATAAACGAGATCATTCACATATATGGCCTCGTGATGCTCACCAAGGAATATATGGATGTCCCAGGTCGTTGTCATCACTCACCGCGCGAGGGCAAGGCAGGCATCCTCCTCCTGGCGTTGCCGAGAAGTCAGACCGGCGACCGATGCTAGCTTTCAGATACCTGAACACCACGTCTTGTGGATGCTTCCAATCCAAGACTTTTATCAGTTCTAGCAACGCGGGAGAGTGTGTATGTGTGCGTGTTAAAAAAGACCAGCAGCGCCAGCCAGCCATGGTGATGAAGATAAACCAAGAAGGGCTCACAATGACGCTTGCTTGGAATCAGAGTTAGGCAACCAATCTAGGCAAAGGATCCTAGGGATGATAAAGAACAATGCATGCATGCTTCAGCGATCACTCTGAGTATCTGACAGCTGTTGGACTCTTGCTTGCACGCATGCATATAAAGCTAGCTGTACGTGTGCACGGCAATGTCGAAATGACTGTTCCCAGTTTCCCGTCAATCCCAATCCTGGCGCCATGGACGTCACTGACACGAGAACGATACTCATCAACGACGACGTCCCCTGACCTCCCCGCCATTGCCGAGAGGATGGCCACGACGACGGCGAGGCTGGAGGCCGATTTCTCCAAGGTGGAGAGCAAGATCCACCGGTTCCCCGGCAGCCTGCGAGGAATCGGCGGCGACAACGATCGCTACATCGTCCCCAGCGTGGTGGCCATCGGGCCGTACCACCACGGCGCGCCGCACCTGCACAAGATGGAGGAGGTCAAGCTCGCGGCGGCCTACTACCTCTGCGGGGCCTCAGGCCGCTCCACCGCGGAGGTGTACGAGAAGGTGCGCTCCGTCGCGGGCGCCGCCGCCCGGGGCTGCTACGACGCCGACGACCCCGCGGTGGTGGGCCTCGGCGACGCCGAGTTCGCCGCCATGATGTTCCTCGACGGCTGCTTCCTGCTGCAGTACATGGTCGCCGGCGGTGACGTCGAGCACGACGCGACGGCGCTCGTGCTGCAGAACCGGATGACGCTGTCCACGGGGCCCAGTATCCAGAAGGACATCTTCCTGCTTGAGAACCAGATCCCCTGGCTGGTGCTCGACGCGCTCGCGGAGTTCATGTTCGTCGACGTGGGCGGGTTCGTCACCGGGATGGGCGACAAGTTCCTCCCTTCCCCAGGAAGGCAAGGAAGCCGGAGGATGGCCGCTGCTGCCGCCGGGGATGCGCTGTGGATGCATCCCGACGGCGCTGGCCAAGACGACGCGGCCGTCCGATGAAGAAAGCCGCGGCGTCGTCGGCAGCACCGAACAGCACAGCACAAGCCGCCGCCGCCGCATCTCCTCGGTCTGCTCAGGTTTACTCAGGTGGGCTGTATGCCTGATAATAAGAAGAACTACACGGGCGTCTCGTCGTCGTGGTCCAGCAGCGCCGTGGAGCTCGCGGAGATGGGCGTCGTCCTCACGCCGAGAACGGAGGTCTGGTTCGGGGACATGAGCCTCCGGCGGCGCTGCCTGTACGGCGAGCTGTCGCTGTCGCCGGTGTTCCTGAGCGACGTCACCGCGTGCTGGCTCGTGAACATGGCGGCGCTGGAGGCGAGCACCGCCGGCGCGGCCAGGGACACGGACGGTTTCGTGGTGAGCTCGTACCTGTCGGTGCTCGCGATGCTCATGGACCGCAAGGAGGACGTGCACGAGCTCCGGCGGCGGGGCCTGGTGCACGGCGCCCTCAGCAACAAGCAGGCGCTGGGCTTCTTCAAGGGCCTCGGCCAGCACCTGCGCTTCGGCCGCCGCTACTTCACCGCCCTGGAGGAGATTGACTCGTACAAGCGCCACAGGTCGGTGAGGATCAAAGCGTACAAGTTCGTCTACAACTACTGCAAGTTCATCGCCGCCTTCCTGTCTGTCACCGGCGTGCTCATCGGCATCTTTAAGACCCTTCTCTCACTCAAGCGCCATTGCTAATGCTGCCTATGATATCATGTTGTTGTATGCTCTAATATAAGTTTCATGTTGTTGTATGCTCTAATATAAGTTTCAGATAAGCACCTATTTGTTCATGATTGCCACACTCGTGCATGCATTTTTTTTCTTCTCATTTTTGTTTACAATAATACACGTCGTACACGCGATGCATATATGTTTACAATTATTATTAATACACACATGTAGCAAAAGTTCGATTCCAATCGTGTGGTTGCAAAATTCAAATAAGAATAGCCGTGTTTTTATTGTCTATATATACTCCGTACCGGATGAGAGGTCACTCCTCTCTCTGAATTTTTTTAGCATGTTATTAAAATTACCCTTGAGGGTCACAAAACAGACTTAACGACGATGTCGGGTCATGGCAAACCATGTCTAGCTTAGCATCAACCGTCGGTGACCATGTCTACAGTGCATGCTCTGGGATTCAACCTTGCTTCTGCTCGACGTCCAACTGGCAGCTGCTCCACCTGGCTTCATGATGCGCACCAATGGGAGCTTGATCTCTGAGGACAACGATAGGTCGTCGTTGTTGACACAGGAGGGGATTTGTGTTCTTGAGAAGGACACCCTGGCCTTCTCCAGTGTGCTAGTGCTGCCTAATAAAAATTTGGGTCCCACCACAGAAAAACGGCATCGCTCTCCATCTGCTGCAATGCAGAAGCAAACCAGGCATTGCTACCGGCCCCACATGGCAAAAAAAAAAAAAAAAAAGAGGAGGAAACCAGGCACACGCCGGCGATGGCAACTGCATGGACTGAGCGGGTTTGAGCGATAAAATACTTTTTTTACTGAGCAGGCACAGCTGCCTGTACTCGCTCCGCTCCCAGAATTCCCGGCATCACTGAAATTTGGCTCCGCTAGCCACAGCGTGTAGGAGTGACTCCCCCAATCATCTCTCTCCATTCTAGGCATCACTTAGGCCTTACACTGCAGAGGGCTTAGGTGGTGAAGCCGAGCATATATGTTTTGCCACGGCTGTAAAACACAGCTGCTGCTGCTGGCTGCCAGAACAGTGTTCTGTGAGAAGAGGCAGCAGCATCAACAGCTATGAAAACAAGCTACCGAACAGGTATATAGATCTTGTTTGGTATAGCTTCTCCAGGAAGAAAACACTTCTTAAAGAAGCTACACAAATAGAGCAAGCGCCTGATTGGTTGGCTATCAATTTTTGCCTTACCAAAATCATGGCAAGCCAAAACTTAGGCTTGTCAAAATCAAGGTTGCCAAAGTTAGGATAAAAAATATAGGTGTGCATTTGGTTGACCGTCATAACAATAATAGGAGGCACATTTTCTCTTTTATGCAGTTTAAGAGCTTTTTAGAGACTTGTCAAAACTTTGGTCATAAACATCGGTGTGCCAATTCTTTGGCAATGAACCAATTTATGACTAAAATTTTTGGCATGCCATGGTTTTAATTGGACAAGAATTGGAAGCCAACCAATCAGGCCCTAAAACCTAGTGTGGTCAGAATAAGCAGGTCAGCGGATCATATATATAGGCTTTGCTTGGTTTATATAGATATACGCTTCTCAGAGAAGCACTTCAAAAAAAACTGCACAAATGGAATAAAAGCATAGTCAGAATAAGCAGGTCTGAGCTAGTTCTTACTTTTTAGTAGAAATGGGGTGGTGTGAATAGACATGGCCAGACTAAACTATAGAAAAACATACCGTTTAACTTTTAGTTTTAGCTTATTTTGGCCATAAGCAGCTTATAAGTTACTTTCTCCATTTCAAATTAGAAGACGTTTTGGTTTTTTTAGATACATGGATGGTTTTTATATATGCTCTTAGATATACACTATGGCTAAATACATGGTAGAAATAATGTATATCTAGAACGGTCAAAACGTCTTAAATTTAGAACGGAGGGAGTAGTAAATAGACCCACATGAAGAGACAAGGTATGTAATAAACGTTTCCTGAATTTTGATGGCTTGGAATCTCATTTCAGTTGCTACGGATTTCTGATACTACACCTGGGTGAGAAAAGAGCTTCTTCCAATTTCCAATCATAATCTTTACAGTGTCAAGCAAACCCCCAATACTATTGCTGCTCCAAGAAAAAATTTGTCCTAGCTAGCTGGAACTGGAAGCGGAATCTAACGATCAGAGCTCGATCGACCGACTCGATCGGCACGTACGGGCACGATCATCACTCATCACTCATCGGTGATGGTGGTGGTGGTCGTCCACGGCGGCGCTGACGATGTCGACGAAGTCGCCTTCCGACGCGCAGGGGAATAGGGATGGTGAGGCCGCCGCAGCGGTGGTCGAAGCCGAACTCGTCCTCCACCCGCTTCAGCAGCGTCACGAACGCCGGGTGGCTCAGGCACGCCGTTGGGATCACCAGCCGCTTCCGCCCCTCGCCCACGTACACCGCCAGGTGGCCCCGCGGCACGTCCGCCGCCGACGGCGACGGCGGTCGGCTCCTCGCCAGGTGCAGCCTCGTCATCAGCTGTCCCAGCTTTCACACAGCTCTCTCTCTCTCTCTCTCTGTGTGTGTGTGTGTGTGTGTGTGTGTGTGTGTGTGTGTGTGTTGATGATTGGTTGATTGCAGAAGTTTATGCTATCTTCTTTGCGGGAAGCAGGACCCTGAATGAACAAGATTTCACTAGCTACTGAAGACGACCGAGCGGCGCTGAGCTGCTAGAGTGCTAGTAGATGCTTGCTTGCCGTTTAGCTTGCTCAATGAGTGTCAGCTGAAGAGCTGTGGCGACCTGTGGAGATTTTGGCCAAGGTTGCCTTCTTATAGCTAGCAGCTCAGTATCAGCATGGAGCCAACCTTGGCATGGCAGGCAACAAGCGCCTACCAAATAAACAAGAACTTTAGGCAATCAAGATCAAGAATGATGGAAGCAGTGGTGGCACTAGCTACTTGCAGTACGTACTGTAGTACTACTCCAGTAGCAGTTTCTTGTTGGTGATGATCATCGATCAAGCTGGGCATGTCACATGCATGTATGGTCCACTACTACTCCACTGCATGCGGCACTAATGAGTAGTGATGTCTCAAAAAATATCTTCAATTGGCATCTATCCTCGACGTGATCTTGATCTTGCAATAGTAGCTAACAGCTAGCTGCCCTAGCTAGTCGAGTACTCCGTAGACATATGGGTGTGCTGCCGGGGCAACATACGGTACGGGTGCATTAATTGCACTCTTCGCACGGTGAGGAGAGGCCGACCACGACCGCGACCATGTCAAGATGAGGCAGCTCTGCCCAGCCGGCCGGCCGGTCCATTCTTGTGGGCAATCACACGATACAAGTGCGTGCTCACTGCATTCGTCTGGACTTGTACAGTTATATGCATGCAGAGAATCGGCGGCATGCGTGATTGCAGTACCGCCCCAGGGAATCGTTTGTTCATCGATAATGATTTCCGCACCCGCTCGTTCAAAGCTCTCTTCCCTCACCGCGGCATCTCCACACCCGCCACACCCACACCGCAACGCTTCTCTACCGAGCCGTGCAACCCCCTGCGCGTCGCATGAGCCGCGCGCCCCATTGCCTCCCTCTCCCTCCTCTTGCTCCAGCGCGGCGGCGGCCCCGGCGCGAGCACGAGCTCTGATCCACGCGGCGACTCCCTTCCTCTTCTCCGGCCGGCAACCCGGTGCGGGGACGGACGCGACCCCGACAGCAGCCCCGGCGTGGGCGCAGATCCGGTGCGGGCACACGGCCCTGCTCCGGCACCGGGAGCCCCCAATGCCTGCATATCCAACGGCCATGGAGCTCCCCGCATCAGGCTCTCTCTCTTTCCTATGTTGCAATTGTATATTCAATTGTTTGGGACGTTTCAGAGGTATGTTGCAGTTGAATCATATGAATGTTGCAAAAGTAGATTAGAAATGTTGCATATGTTGAATTGGTTTCAGAGGCATGTTGCAATAGTATGTTTCGAGTGTTTCAGATGTTTCAGAGGTATGTTTCGTCTGTGTTTTCCGGATGCATGTCGCAATTTTGTTTATCTGGATGTTGCATATGTTTCACACGTATGTTGCATGTGTTTTATTCGGATGTTGCGTATGGGTTGCAATGGTTTTCAAGTGTGTTTCAGGTGTGTTTTTCAAGTGTTTCATAAGCATGTTTCAAGTGTTTCAACTACATTCAGACGTGTGTTGCAACCGTTGTATTTGGATGTTTCAAAAGTAGATCTGGTGTTGCATCTCTCCTTCCACCTTTCTGCTGGATCGTCTCTCCCGGAGCCAGCAAGGCATCCATATGAACGAGGGATGGGCGATGGGCGCGATGGGCACGGGACGAGGGAGCTACGTACGTCGAACGCAAGTGAGGGAGCTCCGTACGGACGGACGCTGCCTCCGGAGCGGGATGGGTGCTAGGAGGAGAGGGCTGCGTACGTCACGGTTTGGTTGCAGGGGCGTGGTGACGTGGGCGCGACGGGCATACGCTCTCTGTTGCGCTAGTGTAGCCTATAGGAGGCGTGGAGGTTGCATCGAACGGAGCCGCGTCCGGACGTAGGCCTAGGGCGGGACGTCCGGACGCGAGGCTTGCCGTTTGTTCATTCATGTGCTCACTGTACTTATATGTATCCGTCATGTATGGAGTGATATCATCTGCAATCTTTTTTTTTTTTGAAACCGATATCATCTGCATGCACAGAGATTGAAGGCCGTGCCCGCGTGCAGCTGTCTTTAGTTTTTCTTTTTATAGTAGCCTGCACGAATTCATGTTTGCAACTTGCAAGAGGCCGAGAAGCACAGGTCGATCACATGGGGTGTGGGTGTGCATCTTGGAGCACCAAAATTGCCCAACACAAGTGCGCGCCGCCATACCAGGCTGTGAGGCTGACGGTGATGGAAACCAACGGCGGCGAGATGGGAGTTTACGTGCATCACCATCACAAGTCCACAAAGGTAGGCGGGTGAAGAAGAAAAAAACTGGAATGTCAAACAGGGAATGTATATTTCAGCGTCTTTTCCACCCAAAAGGTAGATGTATCATGTAATATGTAT